AGAAAGAAAGAAAGAAAGAAAGAAAGAAAGAAAGAAAGAAAGAAAGACCACTCAAGAAGAATGGCAAGAAGGTAAAAAGTAAAAAAAATACTTTGATAGCATCTTTGTGAGATAACTTATGGCTATCCATGCCAAGTGAGTCAGAACTGCTTGTGTAATAACTGGAATATGAGCGGATAACTTAAATATGAGCCAGCAGTGTGCTGCAACTGCCAAAAAAGCCAACACAATTTGAGGTTGCATTAACAGGGACAGAATCAAGATGATGTGAAATGTTAATACCACTTTATAATGCCTTGGTAAGGCCATACTTGGAATACTGCATTCAGTTTTGGTCACCACAATGTAAAAAAGATGCTGAGACTCTCGAAAGAGTGCAGAGAAGAGCAACAAAGATGATTAGGGGACTGGAGGCTGAAAGATATCAAGAACGGTTGCTGGAACTGGGTATGTCTAGTTTGATGAAAAGAAGGACATGATAGCAATGTTCCAATTTCTCAAGGGCTGCCACAAAGAAGACTGGGAGGGTGGGTTTATCTATCCTCCAAAGCACCTGAAGGCAGGGCAAGAAGCAATGGATGGAAACTAATCAAGGAGAGATCCAAGGTAGAACTAAGGAGAAATTTCCTGACAGTTAGAACCATTAATCAGTGGAATGGCTTGCCTTCAGAGGTTTTGGGTGCTCCAACACTGGAAGTTGATTGGATACCCATTTATGTAAAGGATTTCCTGCTTGAGAAGGGGGCTAGACTAGAAGACCTGTTATTCTGTTAAGATACCATCAGTGTAGTATGTTTGAACATGTAAAGACAGAGGGAAATTGGGGTATTTGTATGTTCTGTTAACAGCCTATGTTAATGATCTGTATGCAATTTCAATTATTATTCCAATGTAAAAATATTTTCTGCATATACAGGTAGTCTTGGTAATAATCCTTTGGCATTGCATGTTATCTGGAACTCCTAGTTTGTGAACCCTGAAGAGATGGATAGGGATAGGTGTCTAGATTGTCTTCTGTCACATGTACTTTGGACTGCTGCTTATCCTGGATGTTGTGAGGAATGGCCAGAGAAGTAACCATCTGTTCTTGTTCTGCTGTATTTTGGTCATTAAATTCTTGATTTGAATATTATTTTTTTAAAATCAAACACTGGATGTTTTAAAAAAATTTTTTTTAACATATCATGTAACCCACTAAGAGTTGTGACATGGTTGCAGGATATAAATTCAACAAATACTGTAATAAATAAATAATTGAAGGAGTAAGGAAACATCAGTAGGAAGATACAGATTTCTTTCAAATGTGCTTTTGTCCCTGTGCTGGTGGTCCTTGCACTATAGTGAATAATAGCAGAAGCCTTTGCTTGTAATGTTTGGAGGAGGCTTTTAGAAAAGGACACAGTCATCCAAAATAGAATTCCAGATTTCTATCTTTTTTTTAAATTGTAGTATCTTTTCTCCTTGGTAGGTAATGCTGGTAATTGATGCAGCTGTAACTCATTTGGAGAATTTGCACTGTCTGGAGGACTACCTCGCTAATCTTGGCAGGAAACACCAAGCAGTTGGGGTAAAGGTTGAATCCTTTGAGGTAAGCACTTATAGCAAGTTTGCTGTGCCTTGCTTTTCGCTGCAGCAAACTCACCGCAGGACAACTCGCCATAGACTACTTTCCGCAGGACAACTTGCCACAGACAATTCCATGTGGGATAATTCAGTGTAATAAATGTTATCCACCGGTGTTTCTTTGACATTATTTCCAGTGACAAAAATGGAAATAATATCGAAGAAACAGTGGGTTGGTAACATTTACTGTGCTGAGTTATCCTGCATGAAATTTTCCATGGCGAGTTGACCAAGGCGAGATGGTCGTGGTGAGTTGGCTATGGCCAACTCATTGTCCCATTCCATATTACAGGTAGTCCTCACTCAGCTAATATTCACTAAGTGACTGATTGAAGTTATGGCAGTACTGGACAAATAGTCATTACAGCCAATCCTCAAAGTTATGGCCCGTTGCAACATCCTTGGAGTTATGTCATCAACTTTGGTTCTTGGCAGCCCATCTGCATTTACAGCTGCAACATGCACTTCAATTCCTCCTACCTGCCTATTCCCCCCCAACACTGTCCTTTTGACCGTCGTGCATGCTGCCATCTACCCCTGTCATCCCACGTCACCCTCAGCTGAGCTTTGCCACCTCTTTCTCCTGCTGCTAATGAGGCATGGCTGGTTGAGGCCTCTCAAGAACAAGGAGCTGCCTCAGCCAGGTTGGAGAAAGAAGACCATGGAGATCAGCTGGGAGCAGTGAAGGCTGGCAGGGGTAGGTGGTGTGCTGGGTGGCCAAATGGGCAGAGATTAGGAGGAGATAGGAAGGCACGGTGGGGGGGAGGGAGTTGATGTGGAGACAAGTGTGCAGATCAGGAGAAGTGTGAGATTCTTGCCTCAGGACAGTGCAGTTCTTGCCTAATGATCAAAGCTGGAATTAGTAGAACTGCTGTTGCTAAGAGTGGGGATATTTTGCATACAGAGCAGAGGTGGTATTCAGCCAGTTCTGACCAGTTCTGGAGAACCGGTAGTGGAAATTTTTAGTAGTTTGGAGAACCGGCAAATACCACCTCTGACTGGCCCCGCCTCCATATATTCTCCACCTCCCAAGTCCCAGCTGATTGGTTGGGTGTTCTTTTTGTTGTCCTGCACAGGAGAACGGAGCTGGAAAGCAGGTTAGTGGGGTGGGGAGGGAATGGGATTTTGCAGTAACCTTCCCCCAGGAGTGGGGAGGGAATGGAGTTTTTGCAGTATCCTTCCCCTGCCATGCCCACCAAGCCACGCCTACCAAGCCACACCACGCCCACCAAGCCACGCCCATAGAACTGGTAGTAAAAAAAAAATTGAATCCCACCACTGATACAGAGTATTCTATTTTATTTAGTGGTGTTTATAAAATTCATATGTCACCCATCTCACTGTTGAGCGACTCTGGGTGGCTTACAACTTCATAAAACAGGAATATAAAACAATTAGAACATTAAAACATTAACAAAAAAACTAGCTAAGGAAGGAACCAATACATAAATGAGGTGTAGGTGGGATCTTCTATCCATAAGTTACAGCTAATAGATAAAATCTGGGAATGTCTCTTTTATTTTTGGAGATAAAAGAATTGGATTTTCTTTTCAATGAAAACACAACAAAACACAGTTTATTTGTAAGAGTATTATTAGCAAAGTTGTCTTTTACATTTATAGATTGGGCATTACTTTTCAGTGATGGATAATGGCAAGGAAAGTCAAATTAGTAGCAGGTGAAGGGAATGTGACATTCCTTTTTAAGTACCATGTTTCTGTGGTGGACTACCATCTCTTTCCAATATTAATAAATTATACTTGTCTTGAGATGTCTACTGTTCAAAAGCTAACTCTGTAATCTTTATGATTTGCAGGCTGTAGGGGACTCCTTGCTCTATATGCTGGAGAAATGCCATGGTCCTGCCTTCAAGATGAATGCGCGTGAAGCCTGGATAAAGCTCTATAGCACTGTGGTCAAAGCCATGAGCTGTGGCTGGAATGTTTCCAGAAAGGTGGAATAATCTCTGATCAAGATGCTTGGAGCGCTTTGCTATTCTGTGTCAGAAACAGCTATGATGAAAGAGCATGCTCACTTTTCCAGCTTGATGTATTTCAGAGTAATCTCAACAGCTTTCTTTCTGTCTGTTGCTTACTTTTGCATTCCCTGTCTCAGTGTGCTCTAGAATTCAGCGTAGCAGGTCCATGTGTAGAGTGGTGTGTAAAACATTTCAGTCCAAACTGTTTTAAGTACCAAATTCTCCTCACCACAAATGTGAAATAGGCTGTTTGGAGTAATTTGGAACTGATTTGAGCTCTAAACAGTTCTTTTGATATTTTCAGAATTCTCAAAACAACCAGATTTGTATTAAAAAAAGAACAGATTAACATTCAAATTGGGAAGTTTTGTGAAGATGAAATGATTCAAAATGAAATTTTGCATACCTCTAGTGTGTTTGCAGGTGACAAAAGTGAAGAAACCCGAAGTTGCAATTATATGTTGACTGCAGTGGCTTTCTTGCCGTTAAGCTCTTTTTTTAATTAATCATTTTTAAACAAGAGAATGGACAAATAGAAAAAAAAGTATATAATGTTAGAGTAACAGTAAGTGTGCAGAGATGCCAACATTGTACAGTTAGTGCTCAGTATAGCATTTGATAAAAGGGTAGCCATAAAAACCAAAATACAGTCATTTTTAATAAAAAAAGAAAAGGATTTTAAAGATCTTTTTAAATCTCTGAGCTGAATGCATGATTTTCAAAAAGCTTTTTACTCTCTCTGTTTATAAAGATCAACTGCAAAGATATTTTTTTTTTTAGCATACAAAGGCATTTGGGCTAGCCGGGTTTTTTTTTTTAAGTAAGGAAAGCTTGGTATTCTTTCTGTAAATTGTGGGCATTTCTTTGGGATTATATAAGCAGTACAGGTTTTTTTTCCTTCCCCCCAAAAGTGGGTTAATTCTTCTATACACTATACAATGGGGCTGGAAAAAAGTTGGGCTTTTCAAATGCTTAGTCTCAAGTTACAATTTAAAAACCAGTAAGTTATGCAATAGCTGCCAGTTCCTTTTGTGCAAAAATAAAATCTTGAAGTGGAATTATAACTGAGGCAGGGAAAAGCTTAGGAGAACATTTCAACTTTGTCCTGATTTCTAGTTGGAGATCCATCCCATAACATCAATTTTTGTCAATTGTTAGGTTCTCATATCTTCTCTTCTTCCCAAGGCACTGTTTTACAGCTCTATGGGTGCCCATGGAAGGGAAGAGAAGACAAGAATGATCAGCAGCACGATGGATGGATTCAGTTACAGTAGCAATGGAAGGCCTGAAGGATCAGAATAGGGAGAAAATGCTTTTTCTCCAGAGGTAAATTGACTCATAGGAAAAAAAAAATCCATGGAGGTCAACTCTGGACTTACTGTATAAAATGGCAATGTGCCTTTCTTCATGGTAGGGGAAGAGCATTGTATGACAGTAGGATGATAGAGCAGTTTGAGGTCCTTTTACCAAACTATTGAGCTAAGCATATATACTTGGAAATATAATTTTGTACCAGGGCTGTCAAACTCAATTTCAGGGTGGGTGGGATGGGCATGGCCAGCTCAATGTCACTTGTGTCAGGCATCTGTGGTGGCCTGGGCAGGGCAGGGGGGGGAATCCACTGTCTCCAGCTGAGGAAGGCGAGACCAAAGAGAGCACCGAAACCTTGTCCTCCAGTGGAGCCTCACTGTCCCTCTTAGGCCACACAGAGGACCTCCAGACAGTGGCACAGGCTGTCCAGAACCCTAGACAACAGAGGGAAAGCACCCACCCCGGCCCTCAAGCTCGCAGGGCACTGGGACCCCACAGCCCAGCCCCACTTCCCCCAGGGGGTGCCCAGCTGCACTTGCATCCTCCTCAGGGCTGCTGCTGCTGTTCTCCTTGGTGTGTGCAGGAGGGCAAAATGTGTGGGTCAGAGGAAGGCCCACTCCCTTCCCACACAAGGAGACCTGGCTTTGTAACCAAAGTATCCTCAGCGATAGGATGGGAGACCACTAGGATGGGAGACCACCACCAGAAGATGGGAGACTTGATGGGAGACCACCAGGAGAGATCCCTCTCATTCTACTCTTCTTCCCCCCCCCGTCTCTCCCCCCCCCCTCCCTCCCTTCCCTCCCTCCCTCCTTTTTCCTTCCCTCTTTATTGTCCTTTCTTCTTCCTTCCCCTCTTTCCTTCTTTTTCCTTCCTTGCTTTCTATCCATCTTTCCTTCTTTTTCTTTGTCTTTCCTCTTTCCCTTTCCCCTTCCATGTCCCTTCATAGGATGTGCAAATGCAAAAGGGGGAAACATTTCTCCTTTTGTTTTGTTTTGCTTTTAGTTTGTTTTGCTAGCCCTCTGCCGTGAAAATGGGGCTTGGGGAAACCACATGCGGAGCTCCATTTTCGCTGGCAGAGGACTGCAGGAGAGACCATTGCACCGAAAACTTATCCAGGGTGCGCTGCACACGGCCCTCCTGAGCTCTGTTTTCTATGGCAGTGGCACCATGGTCTGATCCTTCACTGCTTCCAGGGTGGCCTTGCGGGTCAGATCTAAGCACCCCACCAGCTGGATCTAGCGTGTGGGCCTTGAGTTTGACACCCTTGTTCTACACTGAATTATTCCACAAACACCATTGGAATCACTCTAGGATTAAGAAAGTTCTGCTTTTCTTTTGCAGATCATGAAAATACAACTTTTATAAAACCTTCTTGCCAAATAAATTAGTTAGGATTGGAGGTGCACAAAATCTTTTGATTCGCTTTTGCTGGGAAACACTGATGCCATCATTCTTTTGGAAAGTATTAGTAGAAATATTTTCAGTTATTGTAGAATTATATCTTGAGATATTACTTAATATTTGAAAGTATATAGTTTTGATGACAACACATGGGGTAATTTTCTAAATAAAATAGAGTTGTTTGCCTATTATCATGCTTTATTACCATGCCTGAAATTTTGCCTATAAAAATCAGTTTACAGTCCCACCTTGGCATTTATTTAATTATTGCAATATCATTGTAAGAAATATGTATTCTTTTGTGTTACACACGCAACATGCACACACATACATTTCCCTCCAAACAGGCCAGGACAATTACTTTGAAGGATGTCAGAAATTGTCAGAGGATGCCATGTATTCTAGAATGTAATGATGGTGTCAGAATCTTCAGTGGAGTTTATTTCATCTGTGAGGCAGTGGTGATATTTCTTTTAAAGACAAGGAATGTAGCATAACATAATATTTGTGAGAACTTGGATGCATAATACTGGAATGACAGGAAATGATATCCTTTTTATTGGTTTATTGCTCCTCTTATTATTTTGTCAGCTTGTGGCTCTGAGGTCCACAGATGCTCAGGTCCACATGTATGGAATGCACTTGTCTATGAAATGACAAACATTAACTGTATTTGAAAGCCCATTTGCTGTTGTGTGTATTTCAGTTCTGTGATAGAAGTGCTATTCATTACCTGATTTGCCACCCTATTTCTCCTCTACTCTAACTCTTCTAATTATTTCCCCATAATTGCCTATTCTTCTATCATCTTGAATGTTTCTGAGCAATCCCAGTGAACAAAGTCTCCTTTTATCTCCCTTATTTCAAGACATTCCAATGGGGAATTCCTAGAATATTGAATCACATTTTATTTAACAGTGTGGGGAAGCTGCAGACACCAGCAGAAATTATCAGAAAAGCTCTCTGGGGAAGAAAAATATTATAATGAAGGAAAGTAACATAAAGGAGGAACAGGCATCATATGTCTACTGACTGATCAGATTTTATATTGATATAATAAAGTATCTGTCTAGGTTCTTCTAATGGCTTCTCTCTTAATAAAAATGTTGATGTAATTTTTTGGATTGAAGCCTTAGATCAAATAGCAGATTTCTGTTGGCTATTTGTCAATGTGGCCTCTAAATGTAATAGAATTATATATTTTCAGTATTGGGCTCATGTAACATATTTAACACATCTACAAATCCAGTCTGATGGGATACAAAAGCTTAAAGACAGTCCCTTGGCCTGCACGATAACCACTCTGTTTCCTTTCTCTTTTCTAATAGTTTTCTCGTACTCTGTTCTATTTTTTCTTTCCCTCAGTCCATCATCATTATCCAGTAAACAGAGATAGATCTGTGTTGTGGCCCCGATTCCCGAGCCTATGCTGTCAGAGGAAGAAGACCTGGAAGATGAGGAGGAGGAACTGGGAATGCCTTCCTCCCCAGGACCTTCCTCTCTGGCAATGCCTTCCTCCCTGATAATGCCTTAGGTTCCATCAGACAACCGAGAGGAACAGCCTGAGATTAATCGGGAGGAAGGCATATCGGAGCAGCCCCTGACAGGGAGTAAAGAGGAAGAGTGTTGGCTTGATCCTAAGCAGCGTCTTAGGGAGAAACGTGAGCAGCAACGTAGGAGGCGTGGGAGGGTCAGAGAGTGAGCTGAGTCATTGAGCCACACCCCACAGGGGATAAAAGTGGGTGTGTTTTCGGCTAGAACTTTGTACGGGAAAAGTTTAATCTTACTTCAGATTTTCTTCGTGAATGATTTTTGTGGACTGCCTTGTAATTTTCTGTGAGTAGATTTTTATTTGTTATCAGTTTGGACTTGGCAGGCAGAGGGTGTTGGAATGCCAAGGATATTATCAGTTCCAAAGAATTAACTCTGTGAAGTCCGAGCCAGCCTGCCTGCCTGTGTTTGTGTGAGTTTGTATTCTTTCATCTTTTGGGAAAAAAGATAAGTGAGGCAGAACAGATCTGAATATGACTGCAGATAGCTGTGGAATATGGTTAGCTAGCAATAGGACAAAGTATGATCAGATTCTCTGTTGGCCATAAAAAGGTCTTATATCTTCCTTTTCCCAGTCGTGCATAAATATGGTCTTGTTTAAATAAAAGAATTACCCGCTGAATCTTCACACAGTTCCTCAGGGCTTGATTCTTTCTTATGCCTATTCAATTAGTATCTCATCATATTAGATAATTGTAAACAAGTGGCTCATAATTATGATTGAATTTTATTTCCTTGAAGAAACAGGAGAAGAGAGAGACACATCTGGATCTGGAATGCACTGCTTCCAATTGCAATGGCAGTTCAAATTATGGACTGCAAATATCACCCAAAATGCCAGAGCTATTTTATGCCTCTCCTAGTTCTTGACCGCTTTTTTGTTTTGTTTATCTGCATGCAAGGGCACACATATACACCATCTTTTGTTAAATTCTCTAAAGAGATAAAATATCAACATTTGGGGAATGTCAGTCCTCCACTGACTATTGTAGCTATATATTTAATTCATTAGGACAGGGCTGTCCAACCTCTGGTCCATGGACCTGCCCCAGGCTGCGACATGCCAGAAACCGGGCTGTGCAAACAAGTGAAGCTCCATCCGTGGGATGCAGGCAGCATGCAAAACCCCCAAAAACTTTCTCCACAGAACCAGCCCCTGGCATCCACTGCACTATGTCATCAGCACTTGAGGGACGCGGTGGCTCAGTTGCTAAGACGCTGAGCTTGTCGATCAGAAAGGTCGGCAGTTCGGCGGTTTGAATCCCTAGCACCACATAACGGAGTGAGCTCCCATTACTTGTCCCAGCTTCTGCCAACTTAGCAGTTTGAAAGCATGTAAAAAATGCAACTAGAAAAATAAGGACCACCTTTGGTGAGAAGGTAACAGCGTTCCGT